GAAACAGAAATAACCCCTTTGGGTAGATGGGCAGTCCCTAAATCCATGTCCCTGTTTTTGGCAGTTCCAGCAGATAATAGGCTGGTTTATGGCTGACACATCTATGACTTCCTCTGGACCTTCAATTGCTGAATATGGTTCGACTTCCTCCTCCTGTACAGCATTGACCCTCATGGGTTTATTTTGGAAAGGCTGAGGTGGAAATGAAATCGGATCCCGACGGAAAAAAGTTCTCTCGATTTCCAGACATTCTACTCGGAGTTGTTCTAGAGAGGACACCGGCATCGAATACACGATGGTAGACAGATTTTTTCGTAAATTCTTTTTCACGAGAGAGATCATCTCTAGTTCGGAAACTGGCCTCTCCAGTTTAGACCGCATGAGGTTTATATCATGGAAGAATGCATCAATTGATTCATTCGCTGTCTGTTTCCGTTCCAACAAATCACGCATTTCTTCAAAACAGGTTCTTCTGGTTTTGAACCTCTCAATTAGAGCGAATTTTAATGAATCCCAAGTGGTAATAAAATGAGTCCTCTGCTGGAGCCAAAACCATTCGTAGGCTGGTCCAGACACGAGGATGTGGAATTCATTCAATATTTCTTCCCAGGCTAATCCATAGTGTTGTTGGAAATATTCAAGCCTATATATAAAGTCTTCTACGGATAGGGTGTTGGGTTTTCCGGAAAAATTTAGGCCGAAGCGTTCTACTCTAATGCCTTGCGTACCATTCGCACTTATAGACGGGGTCACTGTATTTCTACGATTTAACCCTGCCGCCGATGTCTCTCTGTTTGATGGTGGAATAGTTGGTTGAAAGTTACTTGGCTGAGGGTTTGGGGGGGTGTTACGTCCCTCGATTGACAACCTGGCTACCGTTTCATTCAATTTATTTATGACCGCATATACCTTTCCCATTTCCCTACTGACGCTTTCTGATACTAATGTGGTCAGATTCAATCTGGCCTCACTAATACTTTCATGTTCCATCCCTCTAACAACTTGGTCTACATGATAAGACTGATTGGTTTGAACTTCGGGTAGAGAATTACTTTGTTGCAACCGAGCATTGGCGCTGGTGCTAGCAGTTGGGTTATTTATGGTTCCCGACAAATCCCTTATTGTCGAGTCCCTATTTGTGTCTGGATTATCCATTCTATTTCCTACTCCCTTCTTTTTGTATTTGGGTTTCGGTGAGTGAAATGAGGTTCTACTTATGTCAAAGGCTAAGGATCTATTTCTTTTACTGCGTCTTTTTCCTGAAACGTTTTCGCTCATTGAAAAAGTAAATAATGTGAAATGTGCGGAATTTGTATATCGAATTTTGTTTAAAAAAAATCTTGGCAGAATAATAAAATCTTATAACGTACGCTTACAAATATTAAATATAAATTAGATTATTAGATTAAATTTGTTAGTCTTCTTAATAAAATGGTTAAAAAATCGTTAAATTAATTGACAACATAGAAAACATACAAACATAAACATAAACACTATACACAATATTATTAATGATTCAATTTATTCTGTGTTTGAGAGGGGCTTGAGTGCTTTTTCAGCTATCATGAGTTAAGTGTGTGGATTTTTTTTTCTTTTTTATTTTTAACAATATTACGTGTCCGAATTTGGTTGTTGAGGTGTATTGTAGGACGAGACTAAACATATACATTTTCAATAAAATTTTAAACGGCAAAAAAACGCGCATTTACTTCGCAATTTTGCAAAATAAAAGATCTGCGGAAGGATATTATGAAGCAAAGCAGTTTGCAGCATTTAGGCCACAAAAGACATTGCTTTCATTATCAATTTTCACCACTTTAAAACTTTACTTGGACATAAAACAAAACATAAATTTTGGTGAGGTCAACATCACGGCAGTTTTTGAGACATAAGCGTTACAAAAAAAGATCTCGTGGACAGGGTTTCAGAATCAATGCTGACTGTGATTTTCGTCTTCTCAGTCGCTATTGCACTTATCCCTTTGCTAACCTAACTATTGAATCTACTCTAACAAACACAAAAATTGACTGGTCATATAGACAATACATACATTGTTACATTACAGTTATTGCACCTGACCCTATAATTGGAACGAAAATCCTACTTTTCTCTTAAATCTATTCTAAATATTGCACATTATCCCGAATTAATACTAAAAACGAGTTGGCAATATAAGATAGTTTTAAAGAAAAGGCGATATTTCGTTTTGTTTTTACTGCATGGTATTTGGTCTATTGATTTGAGCATAGCTGTTATCGCTCTGATTTTCTTAATTTATTGATTTTTTTGATTGGGCGCCATACTGTTATGTACCACCTACTGTGGCGCTGTGGTTTTAAGGCCAGCTAGCTTTGGGGAGGTTCTCAACCCTTATCCATCAGCCCGAGGGGACAAACAAGTAAATATTTGGAATTGATACACAAAACATAGAAACATTACATTTACAAAAAAGAAACACGATACACCATCAACAAGGAAGCTTGGTGTTTCTGCTTCCACACATGGCCCACCCAACCTTGACCCTTAAAATCCAAAATTTATATCATTCATAAGGGCCCCTGATCCTCCACACCTACCACATGATGACTTGCACTAATTTCCCCCTCTTTCTAATAAATTTAGCACTTCATTTTTAAATAGTTAACATTTACGCTACATTTATTAACATAGTTGACTTAAAATTCTAACAAAAAAAAAAGGCAACAATCAAACATAAACCTTAGATTACTAACACTAATTTCATGAGACAAATCTCTCAGATTACCCTGATTTTACCTCTTAGTTTCACCTATTGGTAATTAGACTATTTATTACACCCTGCCTAAGAGAGCTCCGTTAGTGGGATTATTATAAGACTTTAATTACAGCCTTTTTTTGTACACTTTAAACTTTTGGGTATTTTAGGGCAACCCTACTCTCACGCTTTCTTTTAGCATTAATAATCCTTACAATATAAAAATTGAACACATACAAACAAAACAACACAACTTAAACTAAACACTTAAGATATTCATATTTAAATTAGTTCGTACTATTAGTTTAGATGTTGAAACTTTAAATATTGGCAGTAAGTGCACCAGGGGATTTGGCTCCTTTTTGGACGTTCTTTGGCGGTATTTTGGGGATCCGACAATTATATCCCAAAATAATTTTCACTGGCCCCCTTTTTTTGCAATGGAATGAGGAGGCCAGACATCAAATTTTTAGCAGTGTGCCTTCGGTTTTGTAGATATAAACAAATTCCCGCACACACACACATACAAATAAAATTGAAATATAAAATATAAAAAAAACTTTGTTTTATTTTTTGTGGTAATCGTTTTGTACTTTTGGTTTTTGGTGGCTTTTTCGATTTTTAATGTGGAAGGTTATAAAACACGGTTTAGAATTGAAAGGTTTTTTCCTTTCAGTCCCTTTTATCACCTCCTAAAGACGCACGATTTTCCCTCTTTTTTGGTTTTCTTTGGTTTGCGACATTTATTGTTCATTTATCTCTACCCCACTTAGCCAACCTGCAAACCCTCCCAAGGTTGTATTTTGCGGTCCGTCTCCACTAATTACCATTCGCAGTGGCAACACCGAAACTCATCAGTTTTATCTGGCGGCCGGTATATCCGGTTCATTTTCTTTTTGCTGGCCGGTCAACAACCATCGCACAGAGATGCGGTTGGTTGTATTTCATTTATTAAAATTTATTTAATTCAGGGGCAATCGCAACAACTTTATTGAAAAAATACTGCCAAATTTCTATATGAAAAATTGCTAATATTTTTTAAATTATTTGTGCCAAATTGACATCTATATACTCGGTCAATATATTATATATACAGATTTCTCTTGTTCAGTGACTTTTACTAAAATTTGATGGAGAATATTTTTGTACTTTATACTTTATCCTTCTAAAAAGACATCTAGTGGGAAAAATTGGTACAAATAAGATCGGTTATAACCCCAAAATGAGTTTTCATAATTTTATGATTTTTGACGTTTGGGCTAATTTTTGAAATTTTGTCTTATAGTAAAACTTTAAGGCGATTATTTTTGAAAAATATTCTGATCTGCTATTATCCCCGTTTTAAATGAGTTTTCAATAATTTCTGGTAAAGGGTCGACTTCAGATAGTCGACAGAGGGTTAACGTATTAGACAAAAATATTGCCAAATATCTAAAATGCAAAGTTTTCGAGAAATCTTAATTCGAATATTTTCAAATATCTTGGAAATAGGAAATTTTCCCATGGCTTTTTAGGTTACCAGCGTTGTCAAAAAGGACACAAAACTTCTAAATTTCGGAACTGAATATATATTTTCCTGCTTATCCTAGGGTTTGCCTTACCTAGTATACAACGAACTTTTTCTATAACGAACTAATTTGCTCGGTCCCTACTAGTTCGCTATATCCGTACTTTACTGTATACTTAAAGAAACAAATACTTTTGTTGCCCTTTTTCCGGGATATACCCATACACGTTCAAAAAACGTTATATTTTGACATTTTTAGGAAGATTTGACAACCAAAATATCAAATTAGAGCCAATTCGGCTGTAAAACGTGACCAAAATACCGAATAACCTAACCCGGCCAATTAAAAATTTTTGGTATATACTGGGGATTCAAAATACTAAATTACAGGCGATTTGAGAAAAAATGTGCCGAAACTTTCCAAAATATATGGAATATCGTTATATGGGAGCTACGCTTAATAGTGGACCATTATTGATAATTTTTGGATTAAGATACTTAATGAGAACCCCAAATACCAGGCACTTTAATTGAAAAATGTGCCCTACATCCTCAAAAACACCAAATATCCCAATATGGTACCATTATATGGGGACAATAGCTAAAAGTCAATCGATATTCAATACCAAAAATCCTGGGAGTTGTAGAAATGTATGTGCAAACTGGTCCAATTTAAATATTTTTGGTGTGTATAAATATTATATTCACAATAATTATTTGTGCAATAACAAAAAGCTAAGACCCAAAATGTTCACCAGCTTAAAATTCGTAATTTTCATTGATACCATGGGCGGCGGCTTGATCCTTAAAACATTTGCCATAAGTTTCAGCAGCTTCGCAGTGATCCGATGACACTTCAATATTGGCACAAGCATCAATGATTTCACGTGCCATTTTCATGCGTTCGGCTGAACCATCTGTAATTTTGGCGGCATGTTTTTCAGCAACATCGGCTACAAATTTGCCATTTTCATCCATCTAGGAAAAAAAAATAAATCAAAAACTACAGATACCAATTCTCTGATGCTGGAGTAATTCTTTTCACACACATACCACTTCGAACTTCTTCATTAGACAGGCTCTCAAACATTTGCCTTCTTTGGTGGATGCTGGTTTTCTGGTGGCTAATTCTTCTACATCGGCTATAAGAATGATATTGTTATTTAGATTAATATAACTTTTAGAATATCTTTGTTATATTAATAAAAAAAGTAATAATACGTTTAAATGGCACCGGATTTATTAAATCCTAAATTGCCAATTCCATTCACATATATGCGAAATAAATCCCTATAAAGGAGTTTAAACCGACAAAAAATTATTTGACATTTATTCCACATATTTTGTGAAATATTCAAACAAAACCAATTTTGACATTTTCCAATCTCTTTTAAACGGCATTTACATTAGAACATTTTACCGGGTTAACCTACTCTATGAAGATTTATTTGACATGTATACAATGGAATTGACAATTGAAACCTACTGGATTAACGAAATCCGGTACAATGTAAACATACTATTAAAGTAACTAAAAAGTAATGCATTGTTTATAACTACTCACAATCCTTTGCATTCACTTCCTTTTTACATTCGTCGGCTTTAGCCTTAAGAACAGCTACAGCCTGATTTCTATCTAAATCAGCGCTAACTGCAACGATGGCTCCTAAAATGCAAATCACAGCCACAATGAAAATATGAACGAGTTTTGCCATTGCTTTTCAATTAGAATTTTTATACAGTAACAGAAGTTTATTTGAAATAAATGTTAATTTGTTAAATGCCGATTGTGAACTGATACTAATTGACATTATTTTCCGACTATTTATACAATATCGTTTAATTGTAATAATGGCCGTTGGCCATTTAGAAAACTCATCATTACATCAATATATCAGTTTTCATTTGGTGTTTTTATTTTCGCTGTTTTTAATTGATAACGGCATTAATTCATGTGATAATTTGTTCGCTTTGTTAAATTTGAAGTTGAAGCGCAACAAAAAGATAATCGACAATCTTATGTCATCAAAATATGTTGATAATAAAAACGTGACCTTTATTAACAGATTTTATTAATTTTGTTTCTTTTGAGAAAATATAACTTTTTCCGCATTTGTGGCCAGGTCATTGCATGTGATGCCAATGCCCACCATTTCCACTGGGAAAGCATTGAAATGAATCCAAGAGGTGAGTCCATATTTGATTTTATACTTAGATATAATCTTAGGATATGTAATAGGGGCAAAGCAGCAAAGTTTGTAAATGTTGTGAGAGGTGAAGTCATTGACATAAACCTCACAAACATTGACGACTCTGGGGTCATGAACTAGAATGTGTCTGATAAATTCAACTTTTTGGATCATAGGATAATACTTTTACAGATTTCCATCTCCAAAAAAAAACAGAAACCTATCAGGAACCATCGGAAGACAAACCGAGATAAGTTCAAAGCTAAAACAGAATCGCATACTTTGTTTGCAAATATCTCAGAAAGGTCGAGAATTTTGAAAAATCCGTGAACAGGTCACATGAACTCTTCTGAGGTGCTATAAGGCTTGCTGTCCTTTAAGGTACCCTGGGTGGAAATCGCAAACGGTATGGTGTCGTACAACAAAGCGAAATTTAGTACAGATTGGGACGTTTATAGAGAAAAATTCAATAGATGCAAAAGTGAAATCAAGATAGCTAAGCGTAAAGGGAAAGGAAACACATACGAGAGATGTCAAACTTGATTTTAGACGTCGTTCTCCTTTATTCTTTTACCATAAAAGAAACCAACTGTAGTCCCCTTATGTGTTTCCTCCTTAATGGTCAAGTTTGACTCTGATATTCCTTTATAAATTGACATTTCTTACAAAGCCAATTTAACAGGTCAGACCTGAATTGTACTTATTTCAACCTTAAGATTTTGGTCAAAAGTCCAAAATCTATAGGTATTATGAAGCAAATTGATGGGACGTGGACAAACTCCGGCAGAAAGACTCTTGATCTCTTATCATCGACCCACTTCCCTGATTGTATGGATCAGAATAAGAAAGTGCAACATGCACGTCGGTATACTGTTTGAACCAAGGAGTAGAAGGAGCAGATAGAAGGTACGATAAGCCAACCGAAGGTGGTATGGGCAATAAATAGCTTTGAACCCTATAAATCCAGGGTTAGATGGCCACCTTGCAGCATGTCGATGATTGAGTATTCGTCACTATACAGGAGTGTACATACCAAGTCTGTGGAAAGATGTAACTGTGACCTTAATCCCGAAAGCTGGGAAGCCGAGTCATGCGCTACTTAAGGATTGAAGACCGAAAAGTCTTTCTTCCTTTCTACTCAAGAAGAAATTAGAAACACTATCAATTCTAACAAAATCAGCAAATCCCAACAAACCGACATCAAAGACAAATCAGTGGATTCTGTCTTACGTGAGGTGGTCGGACACATGGAGACGAATATGGAGACCACCGGTTACACATTGGCTGTGTTCCTCGATAGCGAAGCGAATAATGTGAAACTGAAAGCTATCCATTCTGCTCTCGAACACTCAAATGTATTCTCTCTCTTAGCGGATTGGATTGATGGAATGCTGGAAAGCAGAATTATCAATTCATACATTGGAGAGAGTTCTGTGAGGAAATCTGTCAACAAAGGTAAACCACAGGAAGGAGTATTATTTCCTCTGCCATGGCTTCTTATGATAACTGAGATACTGATGAAATTCGATCATTTATGATAAAGGTTGTAGCCTATGCCGATGATGTAGTCTTACTAGGGAAGTTTCTACCGACGATTACAAATATTATGCAGGGGGCCCTTTTTAACTCTGTCCAACTGGGACAAGACCAATAGTCTTGGGGTAAACCCCACAAAGACAGAAATTGAACCCTTCACTAGGAATCATAAACTTCCGTCGGCCATACCTGGGTAGAGTAACCATAACCCTTTCCTTAGAAGCAAAATACCTAGGTGGAAAATAAATGTTGAGGAACGCAATAAGAAAGGTTTAATAGCACTCTACTCTTGCAAGATCTTTATAGGTAAAAGTTAGGACTAAAACCCGAGATCATTCACTGATTGTATGTAACAATTGTACTCCTCGTACTTACATATGGTTGATTTGTATGGTGGAGGGGGTCAATCAGCGTACACTGCTGGCTAAAATGAGTAATGTACAGCGATCAGCGTCGATTCAGAGTACCAGAAATACTAAGAAATACATCATACGCGGCCTTGAACGTGGAGGTTGGAAAAAGTGCACCACGCTAGTATAACACAATTGCATATTGTGGTTTTTTAGATAGGAGCACTCACATCAGTGAGAAAAGATTTTTTGGCAGGGAATCCTGGGCAAGTGGCTCCTTACCTCTGACCGGTCTGTCTGACTGATGCTTATATACAGTGCCGGTCACGTAATTAGCACACACCTGAAGGGAAAGGTGTTTTGATTAACCCTCGAATCGTTTGGAATATTTTTAAAAAAGTTTTTATTCAAAACGCTTGTGTGTACTATACTAGATCCATTGAGTGTGAGAACAGAAAATTATCACGGGAAAATTGTGATATACAGTCGAATTCGGTTTAGTGAAAACGCCTAATTTCAGAAAATGTTTTTCTCTTAAGAACCTAGATGCAGGATTTCAAAAACTATCTGGCCTGAGTTCTCACGCCGTGGAACTATTTCGTTGCTGTCTCATAGCAAGAGGGATCAAAAAATCATTGTAGGGATCAATGGAGGAGGTCAATGCAGTATTAGATCGCTCACATCCAAGTGGGACATTTACGAAGTGAACTATTGCCGTTTATGTGAAGATGAGGAAAAGTTGAAAACAATCAAACATATACTCTGTAGACGTCCATTGATACTCTAGCTCTCTTCTCCAGAATAGATCCCAAAAGGATATTTAGCTTTGTTAAAATTCTGACGTAGCTAAAATAACTAAAAATTATTCACTCCATAAACTTCTTCTATCCCTTTCTCTCCCATTCTTCTTTTCCAGGTTCTCAGGATGAGCACAATGGACAATTGGCTCCATGTGAAACTGAAACATGAAATGTCAGTTGCACATCCTTTAACCTAACCTAGCCAAACTTCCCAAAATACCAACAATTGTGAAGTATCGTTATATAGAAGCTACGCTAAAATTGGATCAATGGATTTTTGATAGATAGGTAAATAGATAGATATGATTGCCAATGATAAATCAAAATACCAAATTACAGTCAAAATACCAAAAATCAGACATATAAGACGCGACTTTCTCAAAATTAAAGTATTGTACATGACCTTATAGAAGATAGGAAATTACTGTTCAGTCTCTACTAATTTACTTATAAAAGTCACTTTTTTTAATAAATCTATTTTCGGGGCATAAGTTAAAGGATGATACCAAAGGCACTTATATTTAAGAATAGATGCCGTGCACACAGCATGTTGTTGCACGATTATGTTAAGGTTCAAAGTCGACTAGACATACATAAGCATGTTTATTTATAGAATATTGAACTATTTGGATTAAATAAAATGGCATAGCCAAAACGAAACAACTTTGTTTTCATCATCCCCTTGTCAGTTTACCTCGCAATCATAGAGTATGTCAGACATATGCTAATCGCAGCTTAAGGCAATGAATGAGTGGATCGATGTGTCCGGACACAATGTACCGCACAAAAATACAGTACAGGCTAAAATCATAATCTCCATCAGCAATTTTGATTCATGGGCTAATTGAACCCATCTCTGGTAACTATTTTATACAGATGGCTTCCGGCTGGCAGGAAAGGCATTCTCAGAAGACATCTTAGTCTGGCAAACTGCAGTTGTACAGCGTTTGGGGGAGAGATTAAAACGTCGGAACAATTTCTATGTCACTACCCAGCTATTACTAGCTTTCGAATCCAATTCTTGGGAAATTATAATATTCAAGACCTTAATGACATGAGAGGGTGTGAATGGAAAGGATTCTACCACCCCTCTTTTCAACCCTAACCTATCTATACCCATGTTCATAGAACCGTAGAATATAAAAAAGTTAAACACAAACGTTTTGGGGGAAATATATTTACAATTTATTTGTTGAAAAAGAGTGTTTTGTTTTTATTTGTTTCTCATTTAATTTCAGTATTAATGTTTTTGTTGCTCCTGTTGTTGTTATTATTATTATATTAGTCAAATTAAACTGAACACCATTTAAATTAATGGTGACACAATGTAGATGACGATAATGATACTGGTATTTTTTTTTTCAACTGTCATATGCATTAATTGAGGATGACGAGACGACGACGATGATATCAACAAACAATTTCAATTCTTATTTTAACTTAAATAATGAGATTGTAAAAGCAAGAAATTGATATTCATTTTAATATTGTTATTGTTGTTTGAAAGTGACAAAATTAACTAAATTTACAATAACTGTTTTTAAAATTATTATTATTGGTTTAAAATAGTATAGTATTAAATATAATTTATACAGATCGAAAGTAAAGGTTTAAAAATACTTAAAGAAATTATTTAAAAAATATATGATTTAAAAATACAATTGAATACTTATAATTTAATTTTCATAATATTTTTAAAGCTTATTTATACATAACAAATTTTAATTAAATTGCAAAATAAATGAAATTGAATTTTAACTTAACTAACATTTGATCACACACGACATCTGCCAAAAATTGAGAATTTTGTGAAAATCTATGTTCGCTTTTCCAAAAAAAAGGTAATATTATTATGATTATATTTCTCAACAATGCACATATTGTTGTTTTTATGTAAAAGCTTTCCTTCAAATAAAATAAATCTCAAATTATTTTTTGGGGTATTACGAAAATCTTATTTTTCTGTATTTTTTTTATTCAAGGCTTTGGGAGTTTAGTTTATTTATGTATATAATGATTTCTTTTTTATCTTTTTTACTCTTGGTATAATATAATTTTGATTATTTAATTTGTAACAGTATTTTCATTTCTTTTTAAATATTTTCCTTTAAAGCCAAAACTTAACATGAAATTGTTCAATAAAAGATTTTGATTATATGTATGTATTTTTATGTTGTGTGTCGTTAAAACGAATGTATACCTATATATTGTATTTATGTATATAACAATTTTTTGTTGATCACTATACCCTTTTTGATTATATATAAACCTGATTTATTCCATTCCATTTCTGTTGTAGTTTTATTTTACATACTAAATTCTGTTTTATTTATATAAAAATATATTTTTTTTATATTTTTGTATTTAGGTCTTATATAAGAAATAAATAAATTCAAACAAAATTTGTAAAAATAAAATCAGTTTCATATTTAATAAATATGTAAACTTTGAATTATTTTATAAAAGCAAAATGAATATGTAAATTTGGCATTGAAAATATAAAAAAATTGAGAAAATGTTAAAATTTCAACTTGTTCCTTCCCTTGCTTTATTTATTAATTAGCAGGAGACTGTCCTGATTTTATCCTTTAAAATATGTGCATTTATTAGACAATAAACAAGGTAGAACCGATTTTCACGAAACTTAGCACAAACTACTTTAGATTAAATTCAGTGCTCTATGCAAAATTTCGTGCTAATCACAAGAAAAAAATTATAAATGGGACCTACATCCAATTCTGAAACAATTTCCAAGAAAATTAGCACTCGTCATTCTAGATTAAATTTAATATTCTATGCAGAATATCGTGCAAATCGAAAGAACTATAAGGGATTTGGTGCGCCAAACTTCAAGGACTTCACACACGTCAATATGTACTATGTAAAATTTTGTCACAATCGAACAACATTTTGCACAGGGGAAGAATCTAAGCACCCACCATAATGCGACGCGCTTCGTCGTTGGTTAGGAGTCGCCGTACACCAATTCCGCTTGCAACGCCTCGAAATATTTATCGGGGACCCCATAAAGTATGTACACATATTCTTGATCAGAATTAAAATCTATTTCGATTTTTTCCATGGTTGTCTCCTTATTACGGTACTCACAAATATTCGGTATTATTTTAATTGGAATTATTTTACCGAATTGGATGCTATTTGGCATTTTAGGTTCTCATTGGGTAGCAAATCTTCTTACCAAAAATAATATTCCAATTTTGGTGCAGACCCCAAATAATGGTACCTTATAAATTTCGGAATTTTTGTAGAGTTTGGATATTTTTTTTAAACAAAATCGGCTGTACTTTAGTATTTTGGATTCTCATGGGGTAAAAAACCCCTTAACCAAAACTGATCAATATTGACTCAAGTTTAGTGGTATTTTATTTTTATATCTTGTCAGGGTATCATAGCTTTGTGTAGCCCTAAGAGTTAGTAACGCGCCGCCAAACATTGATCCTACATCCACCTTTTTGTATACCGATCATCATATCTCGACTAACTGAGTCGATCTAGACATGTGTGTACGTTCATTCATTATAATGTGTAAACACGGTACAGTCCACAGTTATGGACCAATTTTCAAAATCTTTCTTTTAGGTCCGGTTCTGGCCAGAGAAGTCCCCTGTTGTTATTAGAAAATATCTTTTAAAATTTAGGGGATGAAATGGACCAACAACTTTTTTTCTGTATGGTTTCTTAGTCGCTATAGAGGCCACTATTGTATGCCGAACATCACAAATTTTACACGAGAAAGAATCTGTTCAACTATTTATTTACGGTCAAATGAACAGAGACTTTGGTGTGTAATATAACCAAATTTTAATTGCATGTTTACTCCAGAAAACATGCTTCGGTAGATATATCAGGGTATCAGGAAGTATTGCCCAGGCTCAGAAAATAGATCTACAGAAAATTAAAGTTCGGTGTTAGTTGTGTAGGGCATCATATGGTCGGCCACGTCCTACTATACCGTTCCGCTCACTGGTTTATTAATGCAAAAATTAACAATAAATATAAAATTAAAAGTTTTTTCGTTTTGTTTTGATTAAAAATAGAAAATTATGTATTTATTCTTCTTTCATAATTTCATAAATTATTCTTGTGTTTTTAAATAAATGTGTTTATTTTCAATTTGGATTGTTTCTCTGTTTTATAAAGTAAACAACTAAAACTTGTAAATATATATATATATATATTTTAATATATGTGTGGCGAATTTATTTTCTTCTCCTTCTTTCAATATTATATATGCAAATATGTAATGTGGGTGTATTAACAAAAAAATAATATATATATCGATTATAAAATCCTTAAATATAATGAAATAATAATTAATATTTGTAATATTTATATAAATAAAAAAATATGTGAAAACTTAAGCAAAAAAAGAAAACGTAAAATGATTGAAATATTAAACAAATAACGTCTGGTGTAACATTTATATATGAATGCTGTTTAATTCTATATTTTGATATATTATAAATAAATATATCATGTATACATGTTATAGTTTTATATGTAAATCAATTAGTTATTTGCTTATTGTAATAATAATAATATTAAATCATTGTATGATTTGTTCAAACGGTTTTTTTTTCATTTTTTAGTTTTTTAAATAAAGTAAATACATAAGTATATGTTATATATGTTTTCATACTTAACCACTAATGACTATACTATGGAGGCCTTTTCTGTAACCTGCTAACATTGTTTTCAAAATATATGTATAACTATAAATATATATATATATATTTATTTATATAGGTATATGTACCAGTATTTTTTGTTTAACATTTTACCACAAAACTAGGCTTCTTTGTTAGGTATTTTTGTTCTAGCCAAAACTAATAATATGTAATTTGTAGGTATGCTTTCAATATCTCTTTTTACTTAAACAAATCGAAAATTTTCGAAAAAAACATGTCTTACTAATTTGTTTTTGTTGCTTTAATGTTAGGCACTGTTATTCCTTAAATGTAAGTTTTCTTAAAACCTTGTTGTTTTTGTTGTTTTGCTTCTTTTTTTGTTTGCATGTAAATCTAAATATTTAAGTATTGCTTATGGTCTACAGGTTCATTTTAGATGAGGTTCTGTAATTAACAATGTTTTTTATTTCTTTTTTTTTACAATTCACTTCATTTGAGTGAATACATAAAATTAGTGTGAGCCTTATTAAATAATCTAATTGGAAAATTTATAAATTATATATATGTTTGTATGTATATTGTAGAATAAAAGAATATGTAATTATATTTGTTTTGCTTGTAGTTTGTTACTACATCCATCCATCGATCTACTTTATATTTATTTTTTGCAAAGTTTAAAACTTATCCAAAAAAGTCTTTTTCTATAACCTGCAATAAAAAAAATAAGAAATTTGTTTAATCAAAAAATTACATTATTTTAAAAGTTATTAGGGCTATAAATCCTAAATATTATAACCTTATTTTAATGACGTCTGATCTAATGAAAACGTTCGAGATCATCAATCTCCTTAAAGGCAGATCAATATATTTTATTCCTCTCCCCATTGATATGGTACTCCAGGGACGATATACATTCTAATCTATATTATCCTACTATTATTCTATATATATTATACTTCTAATGCTATTCTATTTTAACCAAAAGCTTTTATTTACTTCTTATAAAAACAAATAACTTCTATTGACTTACTTCGTATTACGACAACGTTTCTTGCATGCCCTTCTTCTGTTGACATTTAGTTGTTTGCTATGATGATACCTCCTCCTACGACGCTTTACAGTCTGATAACAATTCAATAATCATCACTCCTTTAGTGAGTTGCCAGCAATACTAGCACTCGCTGCAGCTGTCGCCTGATTCATTAGCTTATGCTGTGGTATAACTGTCAGAGATTTTGGAATTTTTGAGAGTAACAATTGTTGTTGCTGCTGTTGTTGTTGCTGTTGATGCTGTTTCATAATTTGATTGGATGCAGCTAGAGAGGCGGGGTTACTGGGATGATTTGGTTTCGCTAAAAGCTGTGGAAGTTTTGGCATCATATTGGATGGGCCACTATTACCTCCGGCCGCATTATTTATACCACCACCACCGGCAGCAGCTCCATTAAGTAGAAGCTGATTGGAATCTGGAAAGTTATTCCACAGCCAGGAAGTATTGTTCATGGTATTGGAGGCAGGATTAATGTTACCACTATTTGTTGCATTTGTAATGGCGTTGGCCAACAAAGGCATTATGGGGGCAGAGAAATTGGCATTGCTAGTGATGGAGGCTTGCAGTGGCGGTATGGTGGAAATATTGCTTGTGGGAGTTTGTTTTTGGTTCATGGCTTGAAAGCGTGCTGCCGCTTGTGAGTTGTTCGTCTGATTGTTGCTGGCAACAGCGGCTGCAGCCACCTTCATAAAAGCTTGTTGCTGTTGCAACAGCTGAAGCTGCAACAACTGCTGTTGGGTAACTTGCTGCTGATGTTGTTGCTGTTGTTGTTGATGTTGCTGCTGTTGTTGTTGCCTCTGTTGATTCATTGCTGCTGCGGAATTGAAATTCTTGTTCATATTTTGCAGGTTTTTATTTTGTAAATGTTGTTGCATCTGCTGTTGTTGTTGCTGATGCAATTGCTGCTGCTGTTGTTGGTGCTGCTGTTGTTGTTGCTGCTGCTGCTGTTTGGCTTCTTGCCTCTTTTTGGTGGCCTTCAACATCTGATCGCGCAGTAATTTCTCTCGTCTCAAAATACACATTCGGTTATAATCGAATATGGAAATAAGGAAGGGTTTGCCACCAGACTGTACTTGCACCAAGGCTGGCAATCTTCTGCCATCTGCTGTCTGATAGAGTGGCCCATTCTTAAGCATATTCAAATTTTCTTCAACCGGCATCAATGTAGGTCGCCATGTTTTACTTTGTAACCGTTCTTGTGGTGTCAATGTATCAGGCAACACAACAACATTCGGAGGCGGCCGCGAAGTACCGGGTTTACTCAACTGTGGTCGTTTATTTGTATTGTTATTATTATTACTTGACCCAGCATTGGTATTCGAGGCAGTTGGGGGAGTAGGTGCAGAAGCCGGTGCTGGAGCAGCAGTCATGGTTGGACCAGTAGATCTCCTTTGAAGACTAACCAATTCGGGCGGGGAGCTGAGTAGAGACACTGCATTTTTATTTGCAGATGAGTTGTCCATTTGGTTACCCAATAATTTGTTGGCTACGTCCAATATCTTTTGTTGTTTTGATTCGATTGGTGCAGGAGGAGGTGGTGGTGGGGCGGGATGTGATGAAGAATTGCTAGCAGATTTGTTTGTATGTGACGCCGCAGCAGACGCTGTGGATGAGTTGGATATGGGCAAAATTTCAACAGCCTTATTTATGCCTAGCAGGTTGCATTTCAGAATACTTCGGCTGTTACTGGGACCACCAGTGTTTGCCGTAGATGCAGCTAAAGCAACAGCTGCTGCAGCATTTGCTGCAGCTAGATTTGCTGTATTCGAATTGCCACTGTTGTTGTTGTTACTTCCCGCTAGACTATCTTTAAGCAATGATTTCTGTGGTGATGGCGTGGGGGTGCGTTTATTATTTGATCCATCTTTTGGACGTGCGGTTATTGTTACAGCATTGGTACTCAATTGTTTGGTAAGTTTGTCCACTGATAAACTTCTTTGACGAGAAAATTGTTTATCCGGGCTGTTGTTATTGCTGCATTGTAGCGATGAGGAGGATTTCGAAAGTTTTGACACCTCCGTAATTTCAACATCGTCGTCATCATCATCATCTTCATTTATTTCAAAGGTGGGAATTTGGGGTTCAGGTTCTTTAGGTTTATTACCAGTAGTTTCCCTGGTATTAGATGTCGTCGAATTATCCGTTTGAACTACCTGCTGAAGCCCACCACAATGTCCCTTATCATAAGAGGTTAGCCTTTGACGAACGGTTTGAGTATAAACGCTAGCATTGTTGGAGGCGCTGGCGGATAAAATCAAGTCACCATTTCGGAAATACTTCTCCAACAATATTAAATGACGAAGGAAAGAACTTTGGTTGCCATATGGTTTTTGTAATTCTTCCCAAAGACGCCGAGTCGGTTCATCATATTGCAAAAATGTTTGTACTCTGGTCCAGCCCTCGGGAGTCCTTTGGCTGGTGCTACTGCCAAATGGAACTTTGAAGTGTAAACCCAGGTCTTCCTCGCCAGGGAATAGTTCACGCATCGAAATATTAGGATTCGCTCTCAAAACATTGGATATGTCTGAGGAAGAGGATGAACTGTTGTTTGTTCCGGCGGCCGTTTTCTCCGCAGGCATGCTATTACTTTGCAGGATAGCTTTCAATTTAGACATTTCACTAGGTGAAGAATCAGCTGCATTTGATGCCGATGAATTGGAGGAATCCATTAATGCATTCTCGAATTCGCGATCCATTGCCTCACTAGTAGTCTCTCGCATGCTGGAATTGCCTTTGGCCGATTCGTTTTCACCGGAATGTGAAGAGTTTAGTGGCGACAGTGGATCCTTTTGATTCGAAGAGCCATCATCTTCTGGCAGGGGAGATTTTTGGGGTGTGTCTTGTTGTGGTTCTTGTAGTTGCGATTCATTTTTGTCATTGTTTGAGGTGGCGCCATTGCTGTTCTCATCTTCATCAGCTTCTGAAGCATCATTACTGCCATCGTGTATATTGTGGAATTGTAAAAGGCTAAAAAGAGTAATAAAATGTACAACGTTTTTATAAGATTTCTAAAGCAATGAAATTATATACCAACCGTTTTCGATAATTCTTTATGAATTCGGCCTTTTGAGACTTTGTTGTATCTGGAGGTTTCATTAGGAGATTGGCAAAGTAGCGGCATAATTTACAAACTGCGGTGCCAATACCCAATTGGACAGGAATGCCCATTTCGGTTAATGCCTTTTCAAGACGATCCGTGTCCGAGGTGATGTGATACATGTGGTTTTTGCCCAAACGACGTTTACACAGAACACAGCCAGAACATTGGATGACTGTATCATAGTGGGTTTGACACAACCAAATACATGGGGAGTTTGTCGGAACCTCAAATTTCAGCAAGAATTTCTTTACACTTTTACGAATACATTTGCGACGCAAAGAATGAGCGGCTGGATTTGAACAACCTGTTACCAAGCAACTGTGTGAAGATGCCGACGCAAAATGTTCAGAACCTCCAGCATCAGTGTCATTGTGTTCGAATTCCTGTTGGCTGTCATTTGAGGATTTTACACCATTTTGAGTAGTTGATTCTAAGCCACCAGGTGCCGAAAGTCGTTTCTTATACGATGGTACATTTGCACGACGATCGACATGTCGAAAACAGGCATCACAAAGGCAATTATCGACCGTAAGTTTTTCTTCATCTTGAAGAAAGATTATGAAAAAAAAAAAAATTGTTGACTGTATGATAGGAAGATGTTTTGCGTTTAGACTTACTTGCTAATATTTTCTGTTGTCTTTCCATAGACTTGATTTGGCCCACATGACAGGGAGTGTCATAGAGACCAAATTTACCGCTGCAATAGAAACACTGATCTTCACACAAACGACCGGGATGAAATTTAAACGACGATGCCTTCTCGGGTATGAGTATTTTTTCCTTGTCATCCTTTTTTGTGGATATACCAGATGTTGTGGACTGATGATCATGGGATTCTGAATGGGAAGAATCTACATTGTAAAATGTATACCATAGAATTATGAACACACACACACATAGATATTTACAAGAGAAAATAATGGAAATCATATGGGAGGTTAAAAGGAATATGAAAATTAGATTACAAGAAAGAGTTAAAAAAATGATATGATTAATCAATTTAAAATCAGTAAATAATTTGATATTTTACTATTACACCAAATTATTTACATGATTATATGTTAGTAGATAAAACATATATTTGAATAAAAAACAAAACAGGCACCACCATTCTAGGACTCAGACCAAATGAATTAAAATATTACATAAACACAAATTGAAAAAAAATACAATATTTAAAAAATTGACTTGTACAAGTACAATGCAGTATTACATTATTGCCCTCAGGGTTATGTTTTTAAACAAATGCACACACACACTCTCTCTAAAATACACACCCATTTTTTGTGAATGGGCACTAAAATTGTTATACTGATGATGGTTGGAGTGACGATAACTGTATGATTTTCTAGCGTACGTAGAATTAGTGTTGTAGGAGGAATTGCAACTAGTATTGTTAGTAGTAGAAGTTTTACTGTTATTGTTAATTTGGTTTAAAGCTAATCTAGTATTGGAGGTAGTAGTACAGGTTGTGGTTTTTGAATGTAATTTGTGAAGCGCACCTTCAGTCTGCAAAAAAAAGAACAACAATTAAAACCCCATTTATGTTCAGTTTGCTGACAAATATTACCTCATTTTGTATGGTGTAATAGTTATCCTCGCCATGACCTTCACGGTCGTGTTGAGAACGATCGCTGTAGCCTGCGCCATGACCTCGTCCCCGACTCTTTTGGAATGTCATTTTTAGTGATTGACGTCTCTGTTGCTGTTCTTTGTTGTTTCCCGACGAAGATGTACCACCGGCGGCATTGGACTTTCGACCATTATTGCCACTAGCAGAACCACCTGTTGAATTACGATTAAGTTTGATGATTGTTTTCAATGTACCAGTATACTCGTGATGGGTGGATGCAGCATGAGATGAATTTTTACCATTTCTTTTGTTGCCGCCCTGATGCATATTAGCCGCTTTGTTTGCTTCAACGGCTGCTGCTGAGCTTTGTATAACCTCGAGACGACGTTTTTCGGCTGCTTTGTGTGTGACCAAACCTAGATTTTGTAAATGCAATTCTTTTTTCCTCAACGATTCTTCGTCATCGTTTTCGAAATCCAACGTCATCCATGAATTGGTCGATTGTCCCGATTTCATGGATGTGGCATCATCATCCTTGGTGGCAGGCACAGATTTAACATCATTGGTTTCAATGGTGTTAGTGTTATTAAATGGACCATCATCGGGTAGAATGGATTCAATAGGAACCTATAATAAATAAATGTATATAATTAAATATAAATTCGTCTGGCCGTTAAATTATTATAAGTTTTTTTTTTTTTTTGATTTTAGGGAAGTTATTAGAGCACAAAAAAATGCTTATAGCTTACCTCAGCTTCAACTTTTGTTTTATCCTCCAATTTCATTAGTAAACTATTCTCATCTTTAGTCTCCGACATATCAGTCTTTTCTTCAGCACATAATTTCTCTTCTATTTTGTTCAACTCCTCTGCGACATCTTCGATTCTGTTCATCTCACCACTGGCACCATCTTCCATTTGTTTAACATGTTCATTTAATTTAATATCGTCGATTAACAAAGACGTACTCTCGTCATCAAGTTTTAATTCCAAATCGGCAATATCGGCAACATTGAGTTTCTCATCTTCGATGGCGGCAGTAGTTTTAATATCATTTATAACATCATCAACATCCATGGATACTGTATTCAATGGAGATATCGATGGTTCTGGTTTTTCAATAACATTTTCCTCCTCATCTAGCAGTACCTCCACTTTGTCTTGTGAAATATTTTCCCTATTTGCAGCTGTATCTACTGCTTCTTCGACATTTTGAATGGCATTTAACTTTTCTTTATTACGTTCATCAATTTTCTTCAATTCAGCATCGATTTTAGCCAAGACATCCCTATCTTCATCATCATCAACATCATCGCAAGTTACTTCAAGATTTCCCTTGTCATCGATTACTAAGTGATCGCTTGATGATTGGGATTCTTCGGTAAGCAATAATGGAGCACTTAATTCTGAATCGACCCTATTGTCCAAAGTTTCTACCGCTGATGTTTTCGTGGTTGTTGCTGCTATTTCAACATCATCGATTTCGGTCGGAAGATCTTCATCATTTTCAAAATCTTCCTCCTCTTTTTCATTGGTAATATCATCATTGACTGAAGCATTATTGTCCATTGAAATGGTTTCACTTTCTTCCACAGTTAGATCATCTTCTTCTTGGTCTTCCTCTGCTAATGCCACATTGCTGTCGGTTTTGGTAGCTGCATCCGTGATTTCGGTTTTATCGGCATTAGTTATGTCCGCATCAGTGTCTTCGTTTTCGATCACCTTCAGATCTTTGTCTTCTTCTTCGTCGTCATGGGTGTCTACCAATAAAACTTCATCTTCTTCCTGGTTTTCCAGCTCTTCAGCCTCGGTTTCCCCTGCCTCCTTTGCGACTTCATCTTCATCATCCTCCACAACAAGAGGTGTTAATTTATCATCGGAACTCTGGCTATTTCCATCTTCCTGACAAATGGATTTTCGCTCATCAACACTTTCGTCAAAACGCAATGTACCTTCCTTCATTGATTCATTGGAGTACGATTCCTCAAGTACACGATCATCATTTATTTCTGACACCTTGTTAACACTGGCCGTAGTTGTCGTGGTACTATTAGCTGATGTTGTTGCACTTGCCTCAAGATTTACTACTTTCTGTACAATATTTCCCAGCTTGGGATCTTCCTCAATTCCCAAATTGTTTTCCAGGAATTTTGGTTTTTTATAAAACTGCTTAACACTGATTTCCGACACACCTTCGCTTACCAAATCCGCAGGACTTAGGGAAGCAGATTTTTCAGAGCCAGATGCCACGGATGGTGGAGAACGTGTTGCCACTGGGGTCAATTCAATGGCCGTTTGTGCCTCCGGATTGTCAACATGAACAGATTCAGTGTCAACTGTTAGGGGAGTAGACACGGTAACTGCGTCTTTAGTTTTCACATCAAGATCATCATCGCCTTTGGATTCATCATTCAACTTGGCCTCCGATTCTTCTTTATTCTCTTCATTTACTGCAATGAATTCCTCCGACTCCATGTTCGTTTTTTCTGTTTTTATTTGCGACAATACTATATCATCTGTATTCGTCGATGATGCCATACTGTCCTTGGAATCTTCTTCGTCATCGGCATTAACCGAGTTGTTTCCTTTGGAGCTATTTGGCTGATGGATTTTGAGAAGACTTCGATTTTGGGAAGTCACTCGCCTTCTCTTCGGCTCGGAAGCGGTGCCACTTGTTCTTGTTGGCGAATTTTGTTTGGTCTGTCTGGTGGCTCTGGTCGAAGGCGAAGCATTAGAATTGCCTGACGTTGAGGAGGAAGTGGCGGTTGTGTTGCCAGCATTCGATTTACGTGAAGCCCAACGGCCTTTGCCTCGAGTACTACCGGACGTAGTGGCTGTGTTGGTGGTCAAGGTGTTATCTGTAGTTGTGGATGCTGCAGTTTCAGAGGCTAGACTATTCGAGGCAACATTCATTTCATCTTCGTCCAAAATTTCTTGTTTGATTTTGATATTGTCCAGTAGTGTTGTTGTGTCTTCATTGCTCTCGTTACTGGCAGTGGTTGTTTGGGATGCTGACATTGGCTCATCGCCATCTATTTCAGGATCACGTACCTCAATTTTGATGTATTTTGGTCCAGGTTCATCACTTGATGGCTTGCGGGCATTGGTGGCAGTCATTTCAGAATCAACGGAACGCTTACGTTTGCTAACTGTTGGAGCCGGCTCGACTATGGGCAGTGGCATTTTAACACGATTCGAAGCTCGACCTCTACCACCACGTGTTGCTGGGGGAGTTTCAGAACGTGTGGTCACCCCACCGGTTTGACGTTGTCGTGTAATACGAGACGAAGAAGTTGCCAAATTTTCCTGGCTAGCTGTTGACTTGCGAGTTAGGCGATTACTTGTGGTGGTGGTAGTTGTATTGTTGGCAGGAGAAGAATCTTTTGCTGTTGACTCCTTTTGGTCCTTGTTATCTTTTTGGTCTTTTGTTGTTTCTTTTGATTCACTTGTATCTTTCTTTTCTTGCTTATCCTTTGCTTTATCTTCTTTATCCTTAATGTCCAAGTCGGGTTTCTTTTCCTCTTTGGAATCTTTTTCCTTTTCCTGTTGTTCCTTAGCTTCTTTGTGATCTTTAATTGATTTTCTGCCTCTGATTATATTCTGTTTCTTGCCGGCATGTGAAGAGCAACTTTCTTCACTTTCACTGTGTGTCGGATCTGACGGATCGAAAGGCTCCTTTTTTATAACCACTGGCGAAGGCAACAAGAGTGGCGAATTTCTTGTTACCCTTTGTTGAAATGTTTTAGTTTCAGCTGAATGTTCGCTGCAGCCACCTTTTTCTACTGATGCTGCTGTTCCTCCCGTTGTCGTTTCCTGTTTAGACGATGTTGTTGTGTTCTGTGTGTTTGTTGTGTTAATTGTTTTAGCGTCCTGTGTTTTTGTACCCGTTCCTGATGATGCTGTCGTCGTCGTTGGGGCATTTTCTGCCTTCGTCCCTTGAACTGTCGAAGAAGTTGTTGTCGATTTCCGTGTTGACATGGTCCAAAAGTATATATGCGGTGTCGCCCACACAAATTGTATATGAGATGTTCTCAAAGTATTCAGAGTTACCGAAAAAGATCGGATTAATAAAACACAGATTGGTCCCTTTGATTTCCCATTACGTCAACTAAAAAAAGAAAACAAAGTAAAGAGGGATTAATATTAAACAAATCAGTTTTACAATATGTTGTTGTCGTTGTTGCATTGGCAGAAAATTCACCCCCAAATATTTCCCATATTAGCATATGATTATTTTGTTTGATTTTTCCTTTCTTTGGCCTGAATATCTGATATGGGATGTTAACTATCTCCCGAAGGCTTTGCGATGACAGCTAATGGTGTAACTATGCATTAAATTGTTTTGTTTGTTTAGTTAGTTAGTTTGTCGTCTACCCTCCTCAAGCTCAAAAATATAAAACACAAATACACTCATACATAAAATCATACACTACTTGGTTGTTGGATGTACATTTGATGATATATTGAAAGTTGGATGCTGACGATATGACTGCTGTTGCTGCTGTATGCATTGTGAAGAATAGAGATGGATGGATGGTTGGATCACAAACCAAAAACAAAAAACGAAGCATGTGTTTCTTCTAGCTGTTGCTTGTTTGCTTTTTTTCTTGGTCTTTTTGTTTGGCTTTGTTCAAAACTCCTTGAAACCGGTTTATGGTGTGAGAGTTTGTTGTCTATATTGTCACTCGACCATGGAGTTTGTATTCTTTGGAGTTGTTGATAATGCAAAGAACAAGAAGATGAAGTTAGCAAAATGTGTGCTTTCAGACCAGCAACAGCAGCAGCAGCATTAAAAGCCAACATACATATTAACATATTTAAAAAGTCGTATTCAATCGTGTTTATATGAAGTTAAGATTATTTGGTAAGAATCTCTTTTAGGGTAAATTGTTTTTTGTTTGTGGGTCACAATTTTGACTTTGTTTGAGGGTTGTTGGTTAAGGACATTTTGGAAGAAGCTGGAATTGGAAGATGATAACTAGATAATACTTATTATTATTTTTTTTTTAATTTTTTAAAATAATTATATAATTTTAAAATAAAATGTACATATTTGGGTCTTAAATGCAATGGAATTTAATAAAATTTCGTGAAAAAAGAAGTTAGAGAATATTTATAATTGAATATATTTTAAATTAAATGCGATGTGTTAGCTCGGACCTGTGACTCTATCTGTCGATTGCCAGTGAAACTATAAATTCGAAAGCAAACATTTAATGCAGATTAATATTGACGGGAGACCTTTCGATACACTTTCTGAACAAAGCAATATATGAGGTACTAGCTGAAGAGTTTACTCGAAAATGGTCACAGAGGCTGATATGCCAATCGATGACTCTATAAGCAGCTTTGTCGCAATAATATTATATAAGATCTAATTTAATTAAATTGGTAGTAGGTATGATGAGAAAATCAGATCTCTAGGGCAAAATTGGCTATTGATGAAATGGTTTATTGGTAGTTGTGTCCTAGTTGTGCTTGGGTACTCAGTTTTCTCCTTCCGTGGTGGACTTCGCACGTGATGTTGGAATTTTATGAATTAAAAAGACCCTCGCAACATCATTCACATAGGTCCTGGAGAACTTCCGGATGTATTTGAGGTTTCTCTTAATTAGGGGGAACTCCTTGTCCGATAAACCAGTTGCAGTAATTAACCGCCCTCCGGTAAATTTTCTTGTCAGAGATCTCGTATGCACTGACTGGTTTAGTAGTTCCCGGTTCCGATGATTCATCCATCTTTACGATGGGAAGCTCATCGCCCCGAGTATCCACTTCGACGGCCAGCTGCTTAAGAAGTCTCGAGACCTCACTTAGGGCCGTGGAGATGGATATCATTCCTCTAATAACGCTAATAACAGTAGTATGCATGACATCTTTCCGTCTGTCGAGAGTAAGTCGTCCCAGAGTTGATTCGGAATGCTCTCCTGACTAAGGCGAGGGGAGCCGGTGAGGAGGTAATGGAGTTTGGGACAAAATAATGGTGCGGTAGAATAGCATGGGTCGTTATCATGTGTTGTGGTTGAGTGAGTTCTGACCGTGTCGAGTTCGAGACTGAGGATGCCATGGCAGCCACTCGAAAAATCTCATAAATTCACATTATTTGTATTTTTACTAGAAGAGGGGAGGGTATTAAAATTCGTCGGCACAGATTAAGGATTTAGTGAGAATTTGAGACCGGCCATAGCATAGCCTTGTACCATGGTACGGACTCCGCGACTAATCTTGAAGAACTTTTTGAGGCGCCCAAGTATCAAGAAGGCTTCTAATGCAGTCGGGACCCTGACTGCAAACCGTAGTAACCTAAGACCTAGGAAGTGGATAATTAAAAGTCGCCATTCCCGCCTCGTCAGTCCTGGGATCATAGGCCCTAGATTCATTTTCTCTGACTGTTTATTTGATATTCACAGCTAACCAAAGAATAGTATTGGACTTCACACTATCAACAGCCTGTGGGCACTTGACATTAAATAAAACATGGTAAAATCGCATGATGGATCCATTACCGAACAAAAATATTACTTAACGAAAAAGTGAAAAATCCTATCAAAAATGTAATTTGGAACCTATTTGAAGTCTGATTTTCCACAATGTGTAAGTCTACACACAGCTCTTGGCTTTACATAAAAACAAAATTATTTTTACGATTCGAGACACAAGATATTTAAAAAGAAAAAAAATGTATAAAAATAGTAATTCCTTATAGAAAAAGATAAAATATATAAAATAATGAACAAAATGTATAGACAATCTATCAACATCTAATATGCCTCCTCACACACAACAAGCGCAAACACTTTGGGAAACTCTGCAATAAGTATACGCACCACAGCACCAACTCGCTTCACTGTGTGAAAAAAATATATCAAAAAAATGTTTACACATTATCTCCTTTATACATAGGCAAAAAAAGAAAAAGAAAAAAAAAACAACTACAAAAAAGGAAAACTTTCCCACAAACACACAAATGTCTAGGGTTATGTCTAAAAACATTCAACAATTCATTGTTGATTTGGTAGGTCAGGTTTATCAACAGATGCTGTTGTTGCTGCTTACGGTAGTAACCACCATTTTTTGTGTGTGGAAATGAAGTGGGAAAATAAGGAAATGAAAAACACAATAACAAATAAATAGGGGTAGTCCGTGGTAAAAAGAGATTTCTCCAGCATCCTTTGTGCTTGTGAAAGGGCATTCGTTTTGATAGACATTTTTGTTTTGTTGTCGATAAAGTGTTCTCTCACTTTTACAAGAGCATTGGGAAGTGAGCTAAGAAATGTTAAAGCTAAAACAAACATTACACGATTATTGTTGGCATTTAAAAATTAACAACGTTCGAACAAAAAAAATTAATACACATTCGATTTATCAATAATAAATGATATAGGGTAAGAGCTCCTAATACCGGTATGTACCAATAGTGGGCATCTGTTATATATAACGTCAAATAACTAAAAATTGTACAATCAAATATGAAAATCTTCGTGTAAAATTTCATCGAGCAAAATACATTTATTCAGCCAACATTTTGCATATTGTCAATGAGGGTTCTCAACAACATGCTTCTTAAGAAAAAAAAAATAGTCGCCAATTGATATATTTTTCTGAAGGATATTTTTCGTAATTGTAAAGAACATACAGGATCACACTTTAGATTTTAAAATTATTAAAAAATATTAAAATTATTTGTAATTATTATATTTTAATCGATGTCGATTTTTGGCTCAAAATTGGACAACATGTTAAATAAGTGCTCTAAATACCGATTCATTTATAAACAATCAGTTTAGATTGGTTTTGCATATTTGGAGGTAAGGGTTTAATCATAAATTTAATATATACAATTATTTTATATGACTTTTTCAATACAAAGCTGATGGAAACGTCAGACAATAATATATCATTTATCTAAATAACAGAAACATCGACTAAATATATAATTTTTGTTTAACTAAAATACGACATGCCGGCTATTGGAACATGACATGCCGACAATTGGATAAAAGTGCCGACTATTGGTAAAACAGCACTTTTTTACCTAATTATCAATTTACTTAACTTTAATCCAAATTAATTTGAAATTTCAAAACAGATGAACCAAATACAATGTAGTGGAAAATGCACTCGGGATGGTGAAACGTTTAAAATTCGAAAATCTGACTATTGGTACACTTACCCTGTTCTATTGCTTATTACAATAATAGGTTAATTTATAATAAATGGAATTCTTGACTTGTCTTAACTCTATTTAAGGACCCAATCTCGGTTTATAATTAAAATGAAATGAATCCGTTCCGGATAAGGGCTCTTTCTGCCACCATTTTTAGTCAAATGTTTATTAAATGCAATAATTCTGATACGTCCTAGTACCAAATTATTTACCTGAAAATTAGAACATATCTTTTACAATGCTTATAGAGATTATAGGTTAATTCTTGGTTTAGCTTTACTCGATTTGAAGGCGGATTACCGACAAAAGTCTTTGAATACGAAAAAGACCTTAGTAACATTACGTTATGTTATATAGCCGGAATTTGAATAAATCTATAGTAGGAGTTTTCCACTATCAGATTTACAGTCGGTTCAATAATTTTAGTGCATGGGTACCATGTCTTATGAGATAGGTTTCACAATCTATCCTGCTACAGAATGAGTAGCCGAATTACGTAAATTTAATAACTACTATGTTTTGTTCAACAAAGGACTCCTGGTAATAAAATATT